CCCTGGGGAGGCAGCAGCAACTCTGCAGGGTGGGAAGGCTGGGCCAACCCTTGGCCTCAGTTGCTTTTCTGTAAAATGGCAGCTATGCCTCACTAGGCTGGAGGGAGGCTCTTGGGAGAGTGTGTTTTACTTACTCTCTGCTTAGTGAGAAGCGGACCACAACCAACTGCAGACCCTCACTGCTGGGGGCGTGTTTCCATCACCATGAGCATCGGTGCCTTCCTGCGATGACGGGCAGGAGAACGTGGGAATAAAGAGTTCTGGTTAGAAGCATGGCCGCCTACAGAACTCACCTTGAAAGGGTGTTCTGGCTAATAATGAAAGTCCTTGTCTGTCTGCCATGGGAATTGTTTTAAAAGTTGGCAAATGGTCTTGACTTGCTGACTGAGCTCCTCTGTCTGTGATGATTCAGAGGGCAGGCCTGGGTCTTTGACAGACTTCAGGCCCCAGTTGTCCTTTTGGGGGGACCTGCGGGGAGGCTGGCTGGTGGGAGTCTTGGCTTATAGAGTTGGTGAATGAGGAGAGTGGTGTCTCCAGGGGTTGGTAGGTGATGGATTTGGGGAGGGGCCAGGCCTCGGGTCTCCTTCTGGTCCTCTGCAAGGTCCTGTATCCCTGCTGCTTCTCCCAAACTCACCTTCCACCCAGCTGCACACTCCAGGGCCAGACAGGCCTCAACCATGGACTTCAGACCGACAGGACTCCTGAAGCTGACCTCTGCCCTGAATAGGTTGAATTCCCATGGATTCTGGAAGCTGGGGACGTCCTACCCTCTCCCTCATCTGGCCATCTCTTTACCTGCCAGTGCTTGTAGAACACTGCTTGATTGCTCAGCCTAAAAGGTGCTAACAAAACAAATATTTCTGAAGCACAGTGTCTGGGTGGTTGGTAAATCCGAGCCCTGTGACTTTGCAGGAGGCCGTACCCTTGTGTCCAGAGAGATCTGTTTGTTGCTGCCAGCTGCCCAGCTGCTTGCAGAATCACCACAGGGGCCGCTTTGGCAATTTCCTGCCTCTTTCCAGAACAGATTGGCGTTGACTAGAGTTCCGGGAGCACAGAGTGCCTGGGCTGGAGTGTATCTTGAGTTTCACCGATGACAAAACAAGGGCCACCATTTACTCAGCAAACTCTTTTGTGCCGGGCAATGGGGTGGGCACAGGAGACATAGAAGTCAATTTAGAAATCGTCCCTAACCTGGAGGAGCTAATGCAAGATAGGGATGGATGACCAAGTAGTTGCCATGGGCATATCATAAAGACACAGGGGAGGGAGTGTCATGCCGACCATGAAGTCCCCAAAAGGGAAGGCCCTGTGTTCCATTGGTGGGAGAAATGACCCAGAGACAATGGATGAAGCATGGGCTTTATTCAGGAACTTACTTGCAGGGAGGTTGGTCCGGGAGTGGCCAGTTGGACAAGAAAAAGCTGCTATCAGAAAGGCACACAGGCTCTAAACCTTTTACAAAGGATGGGGTGCGGGGTTAAGCGTGGGAAGGGTAGGGTTTCTAGTATGCTGGTGCAGTGTGAGAAGGCACTTATACATCTATCGTAAGCAATTTTTCTCTAGGAGTGGGATTTTTAGTATTATAATGAACCAAAGGTGAGCTACAGGTAACCAAAATTAATGGGCATTGACTCAGGCTGCCTGATCTAGTCTGAACCAGCCTGGGTGAGGGGAGGGGAAGAGGCTATGACTGCCTCAAGGTAGGGCGTACAAGAACATTCACATGCACAGCTGCAAGATGTGGTCAGCAGACGTAGAGAACAACGCCCATGGCATCAGCATGACCTGCATGCCTAGGCAGGGAACCTGGAGGGAAGGGGACATCCTGGCTTGGCCACCTGCAGGACCCTTCCCCAGGCTCCAACCTCCTGCTTGGGACCACATCCAGGGTGTGCTCATGTTGCCCCTGAGTGTGTGTTGCCCTGTAGTGTGCTGTGGGGAGAGGTAGAGGAGATGCCCCTGCGGGGTCTTGAGGGATGAATAGGAGTTTGCTAGCTGGGTATAGAGGGTACTTCAGACATCTGCACAAGCCACAGTGAAAGGGTCTGTGTGGGTGATGATGTGGGACAGAAAAGGTGACAGGTGGGAAACCTTCCAGGCTGTGGAAGGTCTGCCCTGTGGAAGAGGCATGAATCCCCTATCTGTGAGCACTGGGATGGGGGAGGAGAGCTCTGGGGGAGGTCCAAGGGCAGGAGGCCAGTGAGGTCCTTTACTGTGCCCTGCGGGAGCCAGGGTGGTAGGGAGGGAACAGATTAAGGAGTTAGGTGCCAGATGGAATGACAGGCTGATTGGATGATTAGACAATTTGATCCTTGGAATGAGCCAGGGGAGCCGCCAAGTGAGGCAAGATTTTGCCTGGGATTGAGGTGGGGAGTGGGAAGGCTGGGGGAGAGGTGAGCAAGCACTTCCTGCTGGCTCAAGGCCTGCTGCTCATGTCCAGGGAGGTGACTCACCCGGCAGGCACTCTGTCATTGACCAGGAGGACCACAGGCAGGACTTTGTTCCCTGGGCGGCTTTCCCTCCCTGCCCCCATCAGTCTGTCAATGGACAGGGCTTTGCAACCAGAAGGTGCTTAATAAATGTTACTCTCAAACAGAAGATAAGACCGGTCCTGGGCTAAGCTTCCGGTTCTAGAAGCTTTGGGGCTGCACTCTAGGCCTTCCTTCCCCTGCCCTGCCTTTCCTCCAGGGCAGGGCAGCCTGCCGTGGGCCGGCCCGGTCGTCCAGTTGTCCATCTTCACGACTGTGTTCCGGGCCTTGGCTCACAGCCCCAGGCCTGGCTGAGACGCCTGCTCAGAGCACCGAGCCTTGCTGGCAGCAGGTGCTGGGCAGCCCTGACTGTGGCTGTGGGGGGAGGGTGTGACCAGCGAGGCTGGAAGGCTGAGTGAGTGCCCGGTGGTGCCTGGGGAAGCCCCTTCTTCCCTCCATTCACCTAGTGACTGTTCTTTTGTCATGTGCTTATTGACGCCCACACGCACTCCTGTGGCCCCTCTTCCACACAGCTGTTTCGTCCTCATGTTCACATAGCGGTGCCCTTTCTGTGCTTGGTCCGTTCTCTCATCCCTCTGGAGGCAGGCCTGCATATACGTGAGCGCTTAGCATCTGCTCAGCCCTGCTCTTAGCCCTGCAGCGAGGCGGAGGTTTGCCCGTCAGGGTCGCAGGCTGATAGGTGAGGAGGCCAACATGGGAAGGAGGCCACAGTGGAAGGTGGCTTTATATTGACAGACAGCTGAGGTGCTCCGTTGTCACACTCTGCAGGCAGGCTGGTGGCAGGCCACGTTATCTCTTGAGGTCGTGAGGACTGGAGCGGAGGCTGCGCTGGCCCTCCAGGGACGCATGACCCCGGCAGACCAAGCCTGGCTGGGGCTGCCAAGTCCAAGCATCGTCTCCTCCTTTCCCCCTCTCCAAAAGCGGGGAGACAAATACACTCTGAAGGAATCTACTACATCCCCAAATGAAATGAAGCAACACACACACACTATCAGTGTAGGCCTTATGGGGAAGATCACAGCTCTGATGGGCTTTACATTTATTTTACAGTTTGGTATTATTTTTCTTTTGTGTTGCATTTGGCGAGACCCTATAGTATTTTCCAGTGCATTTTGAAATGATTTTTATAAAACCTCTGTAAAATGAAAGATAAGGCCAAGTTTAGAGAAAAAAATAGGGTCTCAGTGACCCAATGTGTCAGAGGTGCCTCATCTTTTTTAAGGAATGAAATCACTGCTGAAAGTGTCACACCCTGCCTCTAGAGCAGAGGGTCACTGTGGGGGATTTTGCTCCCAGGGGACATTTGGAAATGTCTGGAGACATTTTTGATTATCACACGGGACAGGAGCTGTTGTCCTCTAGTGGGTGGAGGCCAGGCACTGCTGTACGTCCCGCAGTGCACAGGAGCAGGACCTGGCCCCAGTGTCAACCATGCCGAGGTCGGAAACCCTGCTTAGAGGCAGCAAGAATCATGAACTTGGGGCATTGCATGCTGGTCTTTCTAAAAGTACACACTTGGCCAGGTGCGATGGCTCAGCCTGTAATCCTAGCACTTTGGGAGACTGAGGTGAGAAGATTGCCCGAGCCCGGGGGTTTGAGAACAGCCTGGGCAACTTGGTGAGACATCGTCTCTACAATAAATCACACACACACACACACACACAAAAACTAGCCAGACGTGGTGGCATGCATCTGTAGTTTTGGCTACTCGGAAGGCTGAGGCGGAAGGATCGCCGGAGCCCAGCAGGTCGAGGCTGTGGTGGCTGTGAGCATGCCACTGCACTCCAGCCTGGGTGACAAGAGTGAGACTCCAACTCAAAAAAAAAAAAAGAAAAGAAAAGTACACACTCAGAAAGACTGTTAGTATTTCATTGCTTTGTGGTGTTTTCTAAAAATGCATGGCTAGGCTACGAGACCTGCAGCGTGCCTTTCTCACCTGCCATTGTGTGTTGAGAACATTACACCTTGTCACATCTAGGTCTCGTTCTTTTAGCTTCTGAAGTTTAGCATCAGCATTCTTCGGTCACTGGACGCCTGAGCTGTTTCTCATTGCTTCTTCCCGTTGTCATTGCAGCCAACAGGGTTGGCAGGGTTGTCCTTCCACATGCCCCTGTGCATGGGTGGCGTGGCTGGGATGTGGCGCACACCTCCTGGGTTTTCTACTGCCTGTTCACCCTCTCATCACTGCTCAAGATTGTCCCTTGTCAGGTTTGGGTGAGAAGAGGCACATCACTATTGTTTTAATTCACTTTTTTTAACCCAATGACTAGTGAGGTTGAGTGTCTCTTCACATGTATTTTGGCCACCGTGGCCTCTGAGAACCCTCATTCTGGATGTTCCCTGCCACACCCAGGTTTAGTGTCACTTCCTTTGGGGAGCTGGACACCCATCTTAAAGGCACTGATTTCCTCGTTGGGCGTCCACACATACTTCTGTGGTCCCTAGCCCAGCTGCCCTCCTGACACGGTTGACTAGGTTTCAGCTTTTATCTTCTCTTTTATGAGATGCCACTGTAGTAACCTTTGCTGGACTTGGATGTCCCCGAGCCGCCCAATGTGTTCCCGGAGGGTAACTTTGTCTCTGACATCTGGGGGCTGGCAGGTCCTGGCTGTGTCAGGGCGGTGCTGATGCCGGCTCTGTCTCTGCAGGCAGACCTGTGCATTATGACCCGGCTGCTGGGCTACGTGGACCCCTTGGATCCCAGCTTCGTGGCAGCCGTCCTCGCCATCGCTTTCAATCCACTCTACTGGAATGTGGTAAGTGCCTTCGCATCCGACACTGTCCAGCCAGGGGGCATCCCACTGCCAAGAGAGCCCACACTGGCGGGCCTGGAGCACTGGACTCCTCTGGCCTTCTTTCCTGGGCTGCCCAGAGCTGACTCAGGATGGCCCGAGACGGCCGAGACCTGCAATAGAAAGCCCCCCCATGGTGGGCCTGCCGTTGCTCATGTGCCCAGCGACTTCACTTGCGGTCTCCTGTCCAGGAAGTAGATGGCCCAGGAAGTCAGGGCTCTCTTCCTCTCTGCCACATCACGCATTAAAGTCATTTTCTTGTGACTCCTCCTCAAATGTGCTCCATGAACATTGTTACTTTTTCCCGCATGAGGCTTCCTATAAGATGGCCTGCACACCCCTGGACCGAGGTGTGCTGGGTAGCAGGACCAGTCCAACGTGAACTGAAAACAGAAGTAGCCAGAGCCACACCAGCTTGTTGATGGGTGCAAGAGGACATTCGGCAGCCTGAGATCTGTGGGGTGGGAGGGCTGCGTGGGAAGGGATCTGGGCCCTTCGAGGAGGGTGTGGGAGGGGGAGTGTCATTGGCTCCTGCGGTGGCCTTTCCCTGGGAGGCCTCCCGCGTCCCCCCAGGGCTGTGGGGTGAAGCTCTTGGGGTTTCTGGCCCCTCTCTCGAGGTGGTCTCTGGAGGGTGCCGGCAAGATCCTCCTGAGGATCTTGCCGGCACGGCTGAGGGGGCTGGGGGGCCCCGGGCCC